ACAGAAGAATTTACAGCACAAGTCCAAATAACCAGGTTGGGGAAGACTAAGCTTGGCAAAAGCGCATGTTCAGAGAAAAACTGATTTTGCTTTATGCCTTTTAGCCAGACAACACCAAAATACTTCCAACCCTAGACTGAGAAGGCATGAAAGAATCTTGCTTAAGGTACTTTTTTTTTAAAGATTTTATTTATTTATTTGACAGAGAAGAGAGAGAGAGACAGTGAGAGAGCGAACACAAGCAGGGGGCGTGGGAGAGAGAGAAGCAGGCTTCCCGCTGAGCAGGGAGCCCGATGCGGGGCTCGATCCCAGGAGCCTGGGATCACGACCTGAGCCGAAGGCAGACGCTTAACCGACTGAGCCACCAGGGCGCCCCGCTTAAGGTACTTCTGAATCTACACAAAGTCCTGAGAATTCAACCCGGCTTCCTCGTGATTTTGGTATCATCATTAGCTGTCCCTGGTCCTGGTGAGCCTTATCCCCAGTCTGGTACACTTCTGGTTCTTCTGTTAACTCTTCCTAACCTTCCCTGAGAGGATGAGATCCATCCTGAGAGGCAGTGATGGAACCTGCTAGAGGCCTCTCATGCAGCAGTGCCCTGGCCTGCAGGAGTCCTCCTCAGATTCTGAAAGAGAAACAAGAAAAGGTAAAGGGTCATTTGAAGAAAATTAAAAAATAAAAAAAAAAGAGAGAGAGAAAAGTACTGTTTCCCTATGGCTTACCCTCTGGTTTTCAGTCTCCTAACTACAACGGCTTTACCTGGTTACTTTAAGGATTTCAAATCTGCATATAACACCCAACACAAATACATACCCCAGACAGATGCATGCATACACACACACACACACACACACACACACACACACACACACACAGACTCTTTCTAAATTGAAAATATTAAGGCAAACCAACAAGAGATCAATTTCACAGTTACGGCCATTTTCTAGTGATGTAAATTGGGGCAGTAACTCTATGGAATTGATTTTCCAGACGATATGAAATACAGATATGGCATGCACAGAACATTAGAACCAGAAGTGACCTGGGAGGTCATCTAATTTTATTTCCTCAATTTGCACATGAAGAAACTGAGGTCTCAGGAAATGAAATAATTTGTTCAAAGTCAGGTATATGTTCAATATTAAAGCTGGCATTAGTTCCCAGGTCTCTCTAAAATCTACCTTTTTTTCCATTCTGTCCTCATTTGCCTTCCCTTGGGGCTTACAAACTGAAGTGTCTTCGTAACCCTGATTTTTGTCCTGGGGGTTTTACAAACAGCTATCTTGCCCAAGTGCAAACATGTTTTGTGGTTTCCACACATCCTATGTGTAATATATTCTACAACAGCTGAAAGACTTGAAAGAAATCTAATTGATACTTTCCTTATTTCGAGTGTTTGGTACATTCATTTAAGACTTCTCCCTCTTTCTGTACATGCCCCTGCTTTGCCCCCAGTTTTGTGGAGGAATCATTTCTGAGACTTGAAGGTTTAGTAACTTTAAGCTATTATCAGAAAGCAGGTGAGAAGCAGGAGGAGGAACCCCATTACCCAGTGCCTGCTGGTCCTCATAAATTACATGTCTGTTCCTTTTTGCTGTTTAATTTCATAAGATCATCCCTCTACCACTCACCTTGGGCAGGAACTTACAGAGACGATAGACAAGCTAGGCAGATGCTTGAAGAGAAACTGTTGCCAGGGGGTGGGAAAAAAATGGATGAAGCGGACAAATTACAGCGTTGTCTATTCAGTCATGAGAATGGAAACATGTTTGTGAATCAATGTATGAAAAGGGTATTTAATAGGATGGGAGAAGTCACTTTAACACCTGTTCCTTTGGCAATTGAATGTGCTAGTGCAAATCACTCACAGTCTGGATCCACTCTCCAACTCTCCAAACAGAAGATGACCTCACCTCTTATTCTTTAAGGATTGAAGACACAGAACAGGGTCTATTTTTAACAAAACTGGGAGCAATAACCATGGCATTGGCTGCTAGGAAAGTCTGTCTTAGAAGGTCTGGCCTGAAGCATTGAGGAATCAGAGCCAGGGGAGAGAGAAGGAAAGAGATTGTGAGCTTGTTCAAACACAACCGCATGAAATGAGGAGTGCAGAAAATAAAAAATCTGAATAAAAGGTGTACCCATTTTACCCTGAAAGTTACTAAGCCTAGAGTCATAAATGCCAAGATAAAGAGGAAGAGGCTCAGCTAATGCTTTGTATTACAATCCGTTATGGTAATGGAAATTTTTCTTTTGAACTGTAGCTGTCTGTGTTGACTTTGGTAAAATGGAAATTCAGGCCCATTTATTGGGAAAGGATTCTGAGTAAGCCTCAGCAAGACTCAGACCAGAGCTTTGCACAGTCCCCCACAGAAGGGCACCCTTTGCAAGGATCACGCAATGAAATGCTTATATAAGCTTATTTTTTTTTCTGCACTTCTCCAAAACTTGAGGCTTCCTCCATGAGGAAGAATGCATTTCATCAGAGACTCTCACTGAGCTCAGTTTTATTCTTTTCCACGCACCTAAACCAGCATTGTGGTGAGCAGTGCAAAGAACACAACATCATGATTATCTTGGCCTCAGAAATGCATTACTTACACTTACAGTTTTTCTATTTTCCAGAGATGAATAATGCATCTAGAACACATTTCCAAACAGCTTACAACTTTTCTTAAATAAAACTCAGTCTTTTTATTGTATTCCAAATTGCTGGCTGATTGTCGACTTATGTTCTCTAAGAGTTTCTCCAGTGAGACCCTGATAGACTTCAGGACTCCCAGGTATGGATCTCATTCAGTTATTCCCCCACAGTTTACAGTACAGAGACATATAGATACAGTTCAAAGACATATAGGTAAGCAAATAACAAAGATGCCACACAGTAAAGTTCTAAGAAAGTAATATATAGGATGTTGTGGGAGCGTGAGGAAGGTGGTAATTAATTCGGCCTGCCGGAGGGAGTTCAGGGAAAGTTTCACAGAAAAAAAGATGTCTGAGCTGGTTCTTGTGGTGGAGGGTAAGTTGGTATTTCAAACAGGAAACAACATATGCAAAGGCCCAAAGGTGTGAAGATATGTGACACATTCAAAGAAGAGCCAGCAGTCTGATCTGGCCAGAGTGTTAAGCGCATGGGGTAGGGAAGGTGGGGGGCTGGGCAGTGGGTAGCAAGAGATGAAACCAGAGAAGTAGGTGGAAACTGAACTGTGAAAAGCTCCGTACCAGATGCCAAGGACTCAAAACTTCTTTTAGCAAAAGAGCAGAGAACCCCCTTGACTTAACAGCTGCATTCTTCTTCAGTACGTAGACATCCCTTGATTTTTACCTATAGGGGTTTCCCTTCCACAAGGCTGGGTAACACGTTCTTCAAGTCCATTCACTTCCCTCTTAACTTTCCAGGAAGACTACATTTCACAGCTTCTCACACAGTTATATGGAGCCATATGACTGAGTTCTAGCCAATGTAATGTGGGCAAATGCAATAGACGCCACTTCCAGAAAACTCTGGTGAAGAACCCTTGAGACTCCAGAGATGGCAGAGTCACCAGATGGAAGGATCGGGGGTGCCAGCATGCTGCATGGGAGGCCATTCACCAAATACTCAAGACTACGACTTCAGTGAGAAATAAACTTTCTATGCCATTAAAGCTACAAGGAGTTGGAGATGGTCCATTCTGGTGGTCAGCCTATCCTAATTTGGTGGCTGAAGAAATTCTCAGGGGAAAAGTAGCTGCTGGCACATGATATATCCCAGTGTATGGATAAATACCAGTGGCGCCGGCTTACTTTTCTCCAGCAGGACCACCAGTGCATATGTCTAGCCTCAGATTCTCTCTGACTCTAACTTACAATAGGTTTGTGGTGGTTCCCTCATTCTTCTAAGCCCTGATTGACCACCTCCAGAAGGCCGTGCAGAGCCGGTACCATAAAACCAAGTCACCTCTCCCCTTGCTACTCTCGTCCTGTACACATCATGCCGGGTATCAGTTGTGTTTTAGAAGACTCTTTCCTCAAGACCACTCTTGATTTTATTTTAATTTGATTTAATCTGTATATAAATATAGGGAGTGTTTGGGAGCTGCAGCCTATAATAGGTCTAATCTCCATGCCTCTCTGGAGATAAGCCTGAATGAAATTTACAGGAAATTCTTCTTCCAGGAAAATCTGAGCCAGTTCTGAGGAAGTGAGAGTAGGTAAAGGATGAAGAGTCAAAAATGAGAACACCTCACTTGGAATTCTAACACTTGTTGTTTTGGGCTTGTAACATGGCTTGAATCACTATTTTCTGACCTGTTGTTTAAAAAGAGTTTTTGAATCCAGAGACTCAAGCTAATCTTTTAAGATTTGTCCTAAAAGATTTCCTTAATTGAATGTAACACTCAGTAATCTGAACTCATTTCACTATCTGATACCTTAAGGTTTTATATTCTCTGATTCTGGGTGAAAGTGTAGCATAGCAATTCTGAGAGGACGCTCAGAGCTCCTCTGAAGGGGTCCAATTATTGAACATGCTGTGATAAGGTTACCTTCATGTTTTCAGTATTCCTGCATTGAGCTTTATGATCTCACAAGTTACAACTGGCATCAGTTTAATGAATTATTTCTCGAAGAAATCCGTAACAGCATTTTACAAAGTTTTATTATTGCCATATTTGAGTCTTCTTCAAAATTGTTTTTATTAAAGCCTGCTGAAAATTTAGACGAGATGATATAGGTCATTCCACAAAAATGAGAGTTCCCAGAGGAAGAATCTAGAAAATTGAAGTCAGACTCCCCAGGATGAAATCTTGGCTCTACCACTAAGATGCTGTAGGACTTCGGACAAGGTTCTCAACCTCTCTCTCTGTGCCTCAAGTTCCTTCTCTACCAAGAGATTCATATCAGTATCTGCCTCATGAGGCATGGAGATTGTTTCATTTATTCACAATTATCCATTTCCTTTTCCTCTTTGCCAGTTTTCCCTATAGACATCCTCATCCTACTGATTGGGGATGTGGACCTTGTGACTTGCCAAGATGGGCCATAAATAGATGAGCCATTTGCCTCATCTGAGCTGAGGTTTTCAGAGACATTGCATGTTCCCACGATGTTCAAACCTCCACCGTGAGACCATCAAGTCTCATGTAGTGGCTACTTCTTCATCCTGGGTTCTGGAATGAGAAGACACAACGAGCAGAGCCAAGATGAGTCCAGCAGAGCTGCAAATACCCAGAAACTCCAGAACTTTTAGGGTTGAAAATTGAAACTTTCTCATTACTAACAGGTTAAAGAGTCTCAAATTAAGATGAAGATTGCTCACAGATCCCACACACCCATTGTCAAGTCTACTGATTAGATTAATATGGCTCTAGTGAATTATCTCAGTTAGACAAATGGCTCAGGGAAAAGAAACTAAGGTGCAGTCCGTCTGAAGCTTGATAAGATCAAAGTACCTATGAAGGCATTTCTTAAAAAGTAATGGGTATGGCTATTGAGTTACATGGAACTTACGGGAATCAAACTGATTAAAAAGAAAAACAGTTTTGTAGAGAAATCTATTGCCAAAGCACTCCCAACCTAGATTAGAAGAGACTATAAGTATTCAAATTATAAAATAAACCTTTGGTCTCTAATCTTCTATGGGGCGAAGCAGTCTGAGATAGCTTCTCAGTCACACATGGCATCTTTTCCAATACTCACTTCAGAAGAGGCCAAGGAGGATAATGAAGAAGGAAGAGCTGTCCAGTCAAACATCATGGAGAACAACAGGCTGAGAAACAACTCCCAGAAAACGTAACTGGAACAAATCAAGAACATTCCCTACCATCAGGGTGGACAAGCTTGCGACTTTTGCTCAGTGGAACATCGGAACTGCTGTTAACCAGTGACTGGTATGTACCTCCCATTCCTGCAATCTTTTAATAAGGTGTCCCTACTCCACTACTGTATTATATTAGTTTTGGGGGAGGAAGAAGACAGAAAACTTTTCACTTTAGTTCATGGGTCTCTAATCAAGAAGAGCAGCAAGGAGACATGATATATATTCACGGGATTCTAGACTTCTGAGCCCAGTGCCTGGTAGTTTTAAGTATCTTGGGAAGAGGTGAGAGCATCTTGTGGTCAGAAGAGCAAATTGCGGCAGATTGCATTTTTTGTGTATGATTATTTGTCTTCTCACGGCCGTTGCCAGCCTTCTAGGTAAATGGAGCATCCTTGTTCGCTCCACTGGCTTTGGGTGTGGCTATGTGACTTGCTTTGGCTAAAGAGACATGAAAGAATATGTTTGTCATGACTGAAAAGATGATTTCAGAAGCATCGCAAGTTTCCACCGGCCTTTTTGCTGTCTCAGAAAGCATCTTCAACCGGGTTTTTGGAATGAGAACGCGTGTAGAACTCAGCACAGGCCTGCAGTGCTGCAGCTGACCCCCAGCCCCAATATAATATGATCCTGAAATCCATACTTATTGTTGTAATCCACCGAGATATTGAAGTTGTGTATTACAACAACAAAAGTTAAGACATGAGACTATCTTGAGGATTTTATGTGATAATACACGCTTAATGCTATGGCTGGCACATCCTAAATTCAAAATAAATGTTAAATTCTGTCATTGGTGTCATCTCTCTATCCCCACTCACCCGTAACAGCTCTAGAAACAGAACTGGCATTCTCCAATATTTGTGGAATGAATGACGATGAATTATTGAAATGTATACCCTTTCTAAAGTTAAATAAGGTGAATAAAATAGAGAATCACTTTGCCAGTCCTTAGAAATCTAATGGGACACCCAGTAAATTGTAAGGGACATAGTTGCTTGATCTGTATTTGAAATACCTGGACTGAGGAAGCATATGATATGAATGATAATTTTTAAAACTACCAATAAATATTTTTGGCAAATATTTTTTGCTCTTCTGAAAGAAAAGAGTCAAGTTTTCTAGTATGAGAGTTCTGGAACTATAAGAAACTCATCATCAGTTCTCTTGGTGCCAAATACTCAGTAAACCTGAGTAAGACTCAAATTCTTGTTCATGGGGCTTTTTGAGAACACCATTGCAGAGCAAGGACATAACATTCTTTCTGAGATTTTTAAGATTTACTTTTTATTTTTTATTTATTTGACAGAGAGAGACACAGTGAGAGAGGGAACACAAGCAGGGGGAGTGGGAGAGGGAGAAGCAGGCTTCCCGCTGAGCAGGGAGCCCGACGCGGGGCTCGATCCCAGGACCCCGGGATCACAACCCGAGCCGAAGGCAGACACCTAACGACTGAGCCACCCAAGTGCCCTTCTCTCTATTTTTAGAGTGTTGCCCCAAGTTGACCTTTGGAGATATAGTTGACAAGTTTTAAGGTCATTCATTTTTGCACCTTAAAATGTTCCTACAAATAATAGACAGATCACTTTAAAGCTGTAGTAACAAGGGAAGAGGGTGCTAAAAGCGGATAATAAAAATTATCAGGAATTTATTTGGGGCCCTTTAAATTAAGATGACTCCTTGGAAGGGCACATCCTTTTAAAATTTGAAATGTCCCCTTGGGAAAAAAAAGGATGTCCCAGAATCAGTGAAATACTATCTTGAACCTCCCTCATTCTGAGGCCTGCAAAGCTTTAAGTCAGCACTAAGATGGATGTTAAGAGTAGATGATTTCTCTTTTTTTCAAAATAATCATTATGCATCATGGCATCACCTACATTTACACTGTGAATTCACTTTGAAGTACTTTTACATCCTTTCTGCCACGATTCTCCACATCAACCCCATGAGTCAAGCCACACGAGCTTTATTTTCATCTGTTTAACAGATAACAAAATACAGGCTCAGAGAGGTTGGAAGACTTGCCCAAAGTTGCATAGCGAGCAAGCGGCAGCGGTGGCTCATTTTGCCTCAGTACTCTTCGCCTCATTGCTCTCTTATCTATTATTAGACCTCAATTAAATAGTACCAGTTGACTTTCAGTATTTAAATGGCAGAATACAGATGTAGCTGTCCCTTACCTCTGTCCTGCAGAAACATGAGAAGCAGAGCTGAATGATGGACCACAGTTATCCCATCCCATCCATGAGGCAAGGTAGAGGCGAGAGACTGTGCATGGCAGACAGTGCTGCCAGTCCCTGTTGGGCACGAAGAAGAAGTCTGAAAGAGCTCTGTCCCTTATACATGACTCTGCTGGGAGGATCTTTCCAATGACTTACAAAGCTCTGTCCCTACGTCACAGGCACTAAATTGCTGGCCCAGAATGCGCATCCTGGCAAGGTTGAGTGAGAGCCAGGTGGGATCATCATGGGATGGAGTATACAGAGACACTACAAGAGAAAAGATGGAATGAAATAGAGTGTGGGGACTAGGGGGCAATGGTGACAAATTAAAAAGCATCACCTGAAATGTGCACTACGGACCGGGCAGAAATTGGCATCAAGTATGTATATCCCCATGAATTCACAAAGGGAAATGAAATTATTGATCGATTGATGAAATAAAAGTTTCACGTTGGCTTATGATGGCCCTGGAAAGCGGAACAGAAAAAATAGATGAAACAAACCCTCAAGGAAATATGAGGGTAACTTTGGAAGCAGCACGAAGGAGAATAGACACTGCTGAGAGCACATAAGGAAGGTGGGCAACAAGCGTGAGAAAGTGAAATGACAATAAACAAGAGTTGGAAGGGACTGGCAATGAATGATCAATAAAGAAGACACATTCATGAGCTCCGGAGTTAATGAGACTGGAATCTAAATTCTAAATGGCACTTCTCAATTAAGGGGAAAAACTCACATCAGACCATCAACACTGACACATCCTACTAAAGTCCTGGATATCCAAGATAAAGAAAGATTTCCTTACAATGGAAACATTATATACATAACATAATTCAAAGGAAAAAGAGGTTAAAGAGGAAGGTAGCGTAGGTGTAAAGGGTGCCTTAGCTTTCACACCCAGGCATCAAAGCTGACAAACATCGTTTAATATGACTTTTTAAAATATACAAATAGAAACATTAAGAAAAAGATAAAAGTCAAAATCAGCTACTAGAAGGAATACTGGGGAGAAGAAATGGAAATTGCCGATTTCACCGTTTATACATACAGTAAGGAGTCAAAGAATGTTAATCAAAGAAATAGTGGTCTTAAGTATACTACATTCTTATAAAAATAAACCACTAGAGAATTTAAATCTTTCATATTATCAGCAAAAAGAAAGACAAAACACAGACCACATAGTGAAAGACAGAAATAAAAGCATCAATAAAAACCAGAAGTATATCGGGTGGGGGGATGGGTTAGCCCGGTGATGGGTATTAAGGAGGGCACGTTCTGCATGGAGCACTGGGTGTTATGCACAAACAATGAATCATGGAACACTACATCAAAAACTAATGATGTAATGTATGGTGATTAACATAACAATAAAAAATTTTTAAAAAAGATTTTGCCTTGAAGCCACTTAGAGCTAGCCTTAGAAGGACTTGAACACAGATAGCACCATCATCTAGATAGAAATGGTCCAGACCCGCAGCCTAATGTCTACTTCAAGAGAAGGGTAGAGAATGCCCACCATTTGTGGCATGCTGATCAGACACAAGGAAACTGAGTTAAATCGGACTGAAGTCATGGCTATAGTTAGATGTATGGTGTGTCCAGGGGCATGCCAGGACAATCTGTGAAGCCGTTATTAAGTACTCTACAATTTTTAGCTTTTATAATGGAATGTCCATTCCCACTGAGAGCACCCTCCTGCAGACATCATTGAAAATGAGAAAACATTTCTTTCTTTGCCTGTATTTTGTGGACTTTTTCAGGTTTCTACTAATAGATTATAATCTCCAGACCTAGACCTGAGGGACAATTTACACGAGACTATTCACACAGTACGATTTTCCACAACTCGCTCTTTCAAGGCATGGGGGAAAGAAGAGAATCACAACTGCCTAGGGAGAAAAAAGAATTATAAGGGCAGCCTCCCTCTTGAGAGTTGAATTTGATCCTTTAAGGCCAGCAATTCAATCTTTTAAAAGGCACATCTCTGTTCTAATCAATCAAGCTTTCATTTCCAATGGCAATAACCTTCCCTAGGCACTCAAGAAGTCAGAAACTAGAGCCTTAGTACATGAAAAGTCAATATGGTATTTTCTACTAAGTTGACTTGCTCCTACAAACTGACCCAGGATTTTGTCAGCAGGAAATCTGATGTTCCAATATATCATGGGATGTCAACACCATCTATCAGTGCAGATCTGTCACATTAAATGGAAATGATGTGGTTTGCATCCGGAACTTCAGGAATAGAGTTTCTGATAAATTTGAGGAGAATCAAAGATAAGAAATAGCACCCAGTGTCCCCAACCTCACATCTTTTTTTTTTTTAAGATTTTATTTATTTATTCATGAGAGAGAGAGAAAGAGGGAGAGGCAGAGGGAGAAGCAGGCTCCCAAGGAGCAGGGAGCCCGATGCGGGACTCGGTCCCAGGACCCTGGGATCATGACCTGAGCCGAAGGCAGACGCTTAACCATCTGAGCCACCCAGGCGCCCCCAACCTCACATCTTGGGTTATATTGCTTTGTGAGGAGTGTGTCCGAAGTTAACTGATGAGATATTCTCAGCCGTAGGGGTTCTGATCCTAGTTACTGATGATAGCAAGTGGCTTTGCAGGTGTCATTGGCCAATAAAAGGGTCAGAAACCATTGGTCTGATTTCAGTCCTCTGTCCTCTTCATTAACCAAGTTTTGTGTGAAATGATAGGAAGATTCATAAAATCTAGGTGACTCACACAGTGGCATTGATAATACAAAACATTTTGTAAGAACTTTTTTCCAAAGTGCCATATTAGAAATTTATTCAAGGAACATTCAAATTTTCACAAGACTGGAAAAATAGTTTTCTTTGCAAACATATTCCAGGGACTGAATAGTCAATATTATATCATGATGGAGTTTGTATCTTAACACACTGGTGTATGGGTAGTTAATGGATGTGAAGTCCAGAAGCCTGGCTTCAGGTCATAGCCCCATGGTACCACCACCACCACCACCACAGTATGAGGCATGTAAGGCCTGGAAGCCATTTAACTTTCTAAGCCTGCAAAACAGGGATCAGAATAGCTGGTCCACCTTTTCTCGGGCCTCCTGGGAGGACTGATGGCAGTGAAGTTTGTGCTTATATTTTGTATGCTTAAGAAGGGATGTCATTGTTCTTCAGGTAATAATTGGTGTAGAATTCTGGCTCTTCATGAGTACTCTGCATCTAACACTTCATATGACAGTTTCTTAGTTGGATCTAATTCTTTTAAAAAAATAACACTTTATTGGTATGATTGACATACAAAAAGCTGTGCATATTTAATGTATCTAACTTGATGAGTTTGGAGATAAGTATACACCCATGATACCATCACCACAATATATATAGTAAACATATTAATCACCTCCCAAAGTTTCACCCTGCCCACTTTATTTATCTACGTGTGTGTGATAAGAATACTTAACATAAAATCTTAGCAAAAATTTTTGAAGTATACAATACAGTATTAACTATAGGCTCTACGCTTAACAGTAGATCTCTAGGACTGATTCATCGTGTAAAATTGAAACTTCTTCATCTAATTTTTAGGTTAAAATTTCCTGCCAGTACTATCACGAAAATTTTTTATAGCTCAGTTGGAAACCAACCGTTTATATGTGTTAACAGTATTATCATAAAATAAAGGTAATAATAGTGCATTTCGTGACACTTTTAGATTCGTTCTGATCATTTCCTCAGACACGCAGTTATAAAAGTTGCTGGTTACAACTACACATTTAGATTTTCTTTAAACAATCTAAGCCTTTTTTTATTGTCTTTTGTTCAATTAATACACATAGTTATTTCAAACTAGTAGAATAGTTTTAACAGTCTTGTTAGTATCTATTTTCCAGATATTTAATAGGACAAATTCCGGCAATGCCGGAACTGCCTAGCTGCATGTGGATAGGATATGTTCATTTTGCTACGGAGTCCTCCCCACAAACTAACCAGGCCGGAGAGAGCCAATGCATCCATGGAGGGACCCCTTGCTATAAGTCTGGGAATGGAAGCAGAAGTCACTCTACTGCTGTGCTGGCTAGTCGCCCAAGGTGCACACAGGATGGAAAATGAATCCATCCTGTGGCCAGAGTTGGAACTACCTGGAAATCCTCCCAGACTCTTAACAACTTAACAACTTGGCTAAGACAGCCTGGCACTGGTGGTTGGTAACTAATAAGCAGCATTGTGAGCCTGGGTGCAACAAGATTCTTTTCAGCAGGCGAGGAAGGTCAGGAGACAGACCCATATTTGTTTAAAGGTCCCAACAGATCGTTTAGTCCGAGGGCCGTGCTGAAGAATGTCATATCTGCCCAGGGAACCAGTTTGTGGTTTTCAAACAGGACAAATGGGTGTGGGCTGAAAATGTGGCATAACCACCAAGAAAGAACCAAAATTGCCAAGCGGGAGACGTAGCTACACGCCCTGATTATAATCTGTTGCCTGGCTGCTTCCTACAATATGAGCTCATGAGAGTTACCTATAAGAACATAACGTACGTAGCTGAAAATAAAGGAGGGCTTAGGGCATTGCTTCATCTATCATCACCAGTCCAATGGCAGCAAAGTGTGCCAAGAGAAGTTCTCGGCAAGAGGAGCCCCCAGAGCCCCAGTCCTGGCACTGTCGTGGACAAGAGCAAGTCTTGCAAGGGTTCTGGGCCTTGCCATCCTTGTTCGTAAAATGGAAATAACAGTACCAGCTCCATTCTTCCTCGCGGAATTGTGCTGAGGATAAAGAAAACCAATCCACAAGTATCCATGAGCTCCCAGTGCTCCCAGAAGTGTAGACCTTGAGGGGGGCTCAAAAAGGGTTAAGAAATAATATCTGGCCTGGAGTATTTCACAACAGATTTTGGAGGACTCGGGACTAAAAACCTGTGAAATAATGGCAAACTACTGGACCGTATTTGCACAAGTGCTTGGTTACTGAATATAACCTGTAATTCCCCTAAGCCTTCACAGGCAAGGGGAGCATCCAGGAAGGGGCCACAGCTGGGCTGGATCCTGAAAGATGAAGCAGAGTTGGCTGGGCAAAGGAAGGAAGGACAGGCGTTCCTCATGAGAGGTACTGCACCAATGAAGACTTGAAGGGAGCAATGAGCTGGGCCGTTCAAGGGACCACGAAGTGATTGGCAAAATGTTCAAGAAGAGTAGGGAAACGCTAAGTGAAATAAGTCAAGCAGAGAAAGACAATTATCATACAGTTTCACTCATATGTGGCACGTAAGGAATAGCGTGGAGGACCATAGGGGAAGGGAGGGAACAATGAAGGGGAAGAAATCAGAGAGGGAGACAAACCATGAGAAACTCTGGACTCCAAGAACAAAACTGAGGGTTACAGATGAGAGGGGGGTAAGGGGATGGGGTAACCAGGTGATGGGTATTAAGGAGGGTACACATGGTGATGAGCACTGGGTGTTATGCACAACTAATGAATCGTTGAACCCTACATCAAAGACTAATGATGTACTATATGTTGGGCTAATTGAACATAATAAAAAAAATAAGAGTAGGGAAATGGAGTTGTGCAGGGAGGATGGGACCTGATTAAAGGTACAATGAAACCAGGGTGAGGACGTATGGACGAAGAAAGGGAAATAGAGGTCCAGGGGTTTTTCAAGCAACTATGACCAGTGTATAAGGAAGATTGTAAGGTAATTAGTATGTACACTGGTCAGAGCTAAGAAGATGGAAAGTAATAGAGAAAAAAGTCTATTACCCACTCTTTTTTTTCTTTAAATTTTTTTATTGTTATGTTGTATGGTGTATGTATGGTGTATATCACCATACATTACATCATTAGTTTTCGATGTAGTGTTCCATGATTCATTGTTTGTGCATAACACCCAGTGCTTCACGCAGAATGTGCCCTCTTTAATACCCATCACCAGGCTAACCCATCCCCCCACCCCCTCCCCTCTAGAACCCTCAGTTTGTTTTTCAGAGTCCATCGTCTCTCATGGTTCGTCTCCCCCTCCGATTTACTCCTTTTCATTCTTCCCCTCCTGCTATCTTCTTCTTTTTTTTTCCTTAACATATGTTGCATGATTTGTTTCAGAAGTACAGGTCTGTGATTCAACAGTTTTGCACAATTCACAGAGCTCGCCATAGCACATACCCTCCCCAACGTCTATCACCCAGCCACCCCATCCCTCCCACCCGCCACCACTCCAGCAACCCTCAGTTTATTTCCTGAGATTAAGAATTCCTTATTACCCACTCTTAATAGTGAAAAAATGGAGAGAGAGAGAGAGAGAGAGAGAGGAAACATTTTGAAGGAAAAAACTGGAAAGACTGGATGATTGGAAACAAGGGCTGGAGTTCATGCAAGTGTTTGAGACCGGGTCTTTGAAAGACAGTATATACTGGCACTATTTTTTCATCTGCTTTACTTTATTGGGGATCATTTCAAGTCATTGTTCCACAGAGCATTCTGAATGCAGTCAATTCATCAATTACAACAGTATTTCCTCACCACGAACAGCTATTCATTACATGGTTCTGTAAGTGGGTGTTCTTGATTCTTTCCACCTTGATCTAACATCAACTCCCGCTCTCCAGTTTTGCAATAAATATTCAGTATTGTGTCCTTGTCATTGGTCTTTTCTAAAGTGTGGATCTCTGAAGCTTGAAAGCACAATTGTTTGTAGAATCCATCCTTCTTTGTTTGAATCAGTACACTATTTTTTTTGACTTTGAGTTACTGGATCTTAGTAGCAAGACACAATTCCAATTTAGTGCACTAGATGGCAGACAATAACTACATTCTCTCCATCCCATTAAAAAAAAAAAATGAAAGCCACAGCATGGAAAACGAAAAACTGTGGCTCACACATTTCTGTTTGCCCTCTAAGCTCATCTAAGAAAACACAACTTTTACACCTAACATCTATCTACATTCCACTGAAAAGAGAGAGAGGGATTTTCAGTCTATTCAGACCTGAATATGCAATACTTTGCTTTTTGGGGGTGTTTTGTTTTTTTGAAGTTTTTTGTTGAATTGACTTTGTTTTGTTCAACCCAGGTAGGAAATGGTGGAGGGGACAAATAATGAAAGTGGTAATGATGACATTATGAATGAGACCATACTGATTATAATGCATTATTTATTCATTCATTCATTCATTCATTCATTCATTTTTGCAGGGCAGGGTTGGGGCAGTTCAGGTGGGAAAGGCACAGTAGGAATTTATAGGTGGAAGGATGGTCAGGATGAATAGCAATGAGATTATTCCCAAAAGCCATACACGATCATCACCAAAGTGATGTACCCTGACAGCCCAGGGCTGAGAAACATTACCAAAAGTTACTTTAAGGAGACATTCAGTTTCTCCTTCTGCTTCTGGATACAACTATCTTTAATCACTTAATAGAAAGAAGCTGACAGTGGACTTCAAACCCAACTCTAATATGGAATTGCTTGGAAAAGTGGCTTTAGTCAGAATCCTTTGTAAAGATGGTTTTGGTCAACATCCTTTGTGTCTATTTTGTGCAACACACTACAGTGAATCCTACCTTTCCATTGCAGAGAAGCCTGTGAGACATCTACACATTTTTTAATATTTTGGCAACATTCAATATCCTCCTACATGTTTTCTAATTATATCTAGAAAGTAAAATAAATATTTTATTTAAAATGAAATTCGGTTGAAAACTCCACTTGTAATTCCCTTGGTGAAGTCTAATATTTTTAGATAGCCAGCTTGAAGATAGGTTTTGTTTTTCCCCTCCTCCAAAAAATCAAGGAAGAGACAGGTATTTAAAGCTAATAATAAGCTCATATTCAAGGCTTCTTATTTCTACACATTTCCTAAAATCTCCGGTCGTTGTGAATAACCTGAGCTTTTTCCTGACCAACTCTACTAGGGAAAAAACGTACAGCTTATTTCGAGGTATGCCTCCCCACAGCGGGCCTTCCATAGGCTTGCTCTCTCACTCCCTTGAACTTCCTCCTTGTGCCCTCTCTATCTTCAGTGCAGTGACAGAGGGCAGCGCCGAGGTCCGCCCCGCCCGCGGCGGCGTTTGGGAGCGCGCGCGCCCGGCTGGGATCGGGCGCGCAGCCCAGCGCCAGGAGCAGCCTGGCTTCCGGGCGTGCGGCCGGCCTGCGCGCGGGCGGCTCGGCCGCGCCCCCGCCGCCCGCCGTGGAGCGCGGCCGCAGGGGAGCGCAGGGGAGCGCGCCGGAGCTGCCCCGGGACACGCGCGGCTGTCTGGGGGGTACTGAGCATCCGCGGCTCTGCCAAGACGCGGCTGCCTTCGTAACTGACTCACCGTTACCGGAAGACAAACGACCCTGGCCCACGGTAGTGTCAGCTTTTCTCCGCGTGATTTCACTTGCCAGCTTTCCTAGCAAGGCGAGCGGCTGATCCGTGTGAGCACTATTACCATATATAGAGAGGAAGTGCCTGGTGAAAAAAAGAACCCAGGCGAAGCCTTAGTCAGTGGCCTTGGGTGGGAGTGACTGTTGGGAGGGTCAAGATGAAATGTGCCCTTCAGCAGACGCGATTACTAACCGTGTTAAATCTGCAGATGATTCAAAAGACAGATCGGAAAAAGGAAGTGTTGCAAATGCCCCGCACTCGGAACTCGCAGGAGTTGCTGCACAGTCATTTAAACAGTTATTAAAATTCTGGAGAACTTGAAAGACAGACTTTTCTCAACCTTCATGTAAAAAAATAATTGTTACAACCTTGATTGCTACATTTGCTTATTTTTTTAAAGAAAACAAGAAATATTCTAAATAGAAGCAGTCCAGCTTATGCTCTAGGACAAACACCTCTGTGCCTTTGAAGCATTGCTATACTTTTTTAAATAATGCAAATAGAGACATAAGACAACCTTGCTGACAAGTCTAAATATGGTTAGTAATGGCTTTGCTGTTTGTGAGGATTATAAATATGGATAGTAATTATGGATAAATATGGATAGTAATACGGATAGTACTGGATACTTTATTGTAAGTATGGATAAATACAGATAGTAATGGCTTTGATGTTTGTGAGGTGATATGATAATTACTAGCAGACCAATAGATATGATAATTACTACAACTACCAAGAATTTTGACCAGAATGGTTTCAAGAGGAGGCAAAGGACTTCTGGATGAATATTTGGAAAAGGGTGGAAAGCTTTTATTGCTCTTCCAGACTCTTCCATTTGGCCAGCCTGTGCCTAGCTCACACTACCTTACTTTCCACTCATAAAATGGTTGTAGCCTCTGTCTCTACTCAGTGTTTAGTACCCTCTTAAAATCTTCTGTGATTATGCCCATAAAGCTTTTGAATCCCTTGGAAGCAATACATTCTCATTTTTAAAACTTACATATGGTTTTATTATCAAGTAATAATATATAGTTTAGCATATATGTATATATGGTTATACTGATTATCAGGTTATAATAAGTCTGTCACATGGGAAGTTTAAACATTACTAAATAACCAGAATGAGCCCATGGGCTTATTCTTGGAGTCCATAAAACTGCCCCCCCAAAAAAGTATTCTGTGCAAATCAACTAGAAAAATACTTCTAAACCCCTGCTAAGACTAAATGAGCAAGGTGACACAGGAAACCAAATAATTACCCAGTGAGCATTTCTTTGCATAAAATAGGGAGAAAAAAACCAATCTTTTCCTCCAAAATAATAATATTTTTCCACTAAATAGATTATCTTTTTTTTTTTAAATAGGAGTTAACATTCTCACGGTGGAAAATTCAAACAGTACAGAAATGCAAAAAGAAAAATGTGAATACCATTTTATAGTTCCACTCTCCGCAAAGACCAGAGAGATAATATGCTGCCAGACCTCTTTCTAAGGATAGACACACACACACGCCCATGCGCATGCATGCACAGGTCCATATGATCATAAGATAATGTTCCACAATGAATTTTATATAACTTTATAGACTAATATGTATAGATCAACACCATTCTTTCTTTTTTAACTTATTTATTTATTTATTTGAGAGAGAGAGCATGAGCAGGGGGAAGAAGCAGAGGGAGAGGGAGAAGCAGACCCCTGGCCAAGTGGGCAGGGTCGGGGGGGGGTGCCTGATGCGGGGCTCGATCCCAGGACTCTGGGATCATGACCTGAGCCAAAGGCAGATGCTTAACCGACTGCGCTACCCAGGCGCCCTGCAACCCTATTCTTTTTATTGGCTGCAGCCATTGACTGGATACACCACAATGTATTTAATCTGTTTCCTTTTGATGAAATCTTAGGGTTTCCCTCAGTGGTTTACCTATTGAAGGAAATGCTGCCTTGAACATCTTTGAATTTTTGCATGCCCATGACCAAGTATTCCTGCAAAGGTAAATTACATAAGAGGGATCTCTGGGTCAAAGTTTATACACTTTAAAAATGTTGTTACAGTTTCAATTGCTCTTCCTCCTCTCAAAAGTCCTCCATGTACCCACCTCCTACATTGTCTGAGTGTCCCTTTTCTGTAGCTGTTGTTTCTGCAGCTGGAGCCATTCTTGTTAAGGTACGTTTGAAGTTTTACCCGTTTGACAGTATGTTATTATGATCAAAGACCCCTCCCCAAATGTATCATCTGATCTAGCCAATCAGTTCCCTTGCCATGGGCTTTTCCCAGCAGGCAAATGGGAAACAGTGTTCCCTCTACTATTTGCTACACAAACACCTAAACACAGAGATCTGGAAAAGCTGGTATCCAGAATGTGGTTTAGACATGAGGTCCAGGAGATGGCTCCCACTCCCCCTCGTTCCCAAATCTGAATGGTGCGATTCCCACCTGCTTTCTGACTTTCTAAAGCAATAATGAGCATGCAGAGAGAGAGAGAGAGAGAGAGAGAGAGAGAGAGAAAGAGAGAAGAGAGAGTTGGCAGGGCCTCCTCAGGCCTGGAGTCAGTTTCCCCACCAGATGCAGGAAAAAGATAACGTGGATGAGATGAAGTCAACCATGAGTTCATCTCTTTCAACACCCAGTGCTTCCTTTGGTCCACAGTACATTTGGCACAGACGACTCTTCTGGAGAGGAAGCTAGGAAGGGCCCGGCTGAAGGCAGGTCAGCAAGAGGGAGCATTGCAGAAATTACCCCTCCCCTAATGTTGCTTCCTCCTCTCTTGCTTTATACTTTATTAGGCCAGTTTTCATGTGTTCTTTTTTCTCTTTATTGGCTAGGCAGTTCTACATATTATTTTAATTCTGCTAGTAGTCATTATTATATTCTAACAGAGAAATGTGGGTCCACATTCTCTATCCGAGTCTAACATCAAATCAGAGAATTATGTTCTCTCCTACTGAGAGACCTCAGTTGGGACATTTGGCAAGCTTTCACTTTTCCCTCCCTCCCTTATACTTTCCTTTCCCAGCTTTACTGAATAATCGGCCCAGTTTTCCAGATTTTTCTTAGAATATGACTTCTTTGTCAAGATCACTTTTAATTGCATCATGCTTCAGTTATCCAAATTTATTTACATTTAACTTTGAGTTTTATTGAATTTGTACTATTGCTGCCCTCTCTTGTACACTGTATCTTTGTCTTTCTTGGGATCTTTATTATGATTCTGTTTTTATTTACCTGAAATATTTTCACAAGTAATTATCCAGAAAGTGTACCTTGTTGGTCTACTATTCCATTCTGAATCTCTCAAATTATAACCCTCTTCCTTTGTTAACTTGTAGCTCTGGTAAAACCTCACATCCTTCATAGTTGTTGATATTAGAAATGGGCTTTTGAAAAACAATTCCTTCTTTGGTTGGTGAACATTTTCAATCTGCAAACACAGTCCTTTCTCCAGTTCTGAAGAATTATATTCTATCAGTTCATTAATTACTCATTCTCCCTTGCTTCCTTTTCTTGCATTTATTTTTTTTTTAAAGATTTTATTTATTTAACTGACAGAGAGAGACAGAGAGAGAGGGAACACAAGCAGGGGGAGTGGGAGAGGGAGAAGCAGGCTTCCCGCCGAGCGGGGAGCCCGATGCGGGGCTCGATCCCAGGACCCTGGGACCATGACCGGAGCCGAAGGCAGTTGCTTAACCAACTGAGCCACCCAGGTGCCCCCTTTTCTTGCATTTAGAACTGATTACTTTTAGGCTTCCAAATCTGTTCTCCAAGATGCTCATCTTTTCTCATGATCTTTCTCCTTCTTTTGTGTGTGCTCTATCAACATCGTATGGCTTTTAGAATTATCTGTTATATTCTTCACTGTCATTCAGACTTTTGTCAGTTATGGTTTCAGTTTTTTTTTCAAAGAATTATTCTTGTTTTCAGGGTGTTTCTTTTTGGTAAAAGCCTGGCTTTCGTTGTGAATATGAATGAGAAGTTTTCTTCTAAACTCTCTCCGGCTTCTTGTTTCAACAGGTTCATTTGTTCAGCAATCAGCCTGGTGCTCTCCTTTTGACCGGATGATTGTACTTTATGTGGTTAGCGATTTGGTGCTATTGTCCAGCTTACTTAGTATTGTTAGCCGGTGTGTCTCTTACATAATTCTTGCAGCCAGTGTAAGTACTTAACATAATTCTTGTAGCAGATCAGAAGGAGACTGGAAGTCAGAGAAATGTGCTTCTGGGATTTCCCGGGAGGAAATGGTCTGAGAGTTGAAAAATCGGAGTCATTGAGCCTTCTGTTAGATGGATGGGTGGTAAGGGCATGCTGCAGGTGTTTTCCCTTCAAAGTGCTCAGAGGAAACTGGTCTGGCATCATGCTGATTCCTCTTGATCAAGGCAGGAAGCAATGGGGTCAAGGTGACAAATGGAATTGGATCTATTCCTCTGGCCAACTGGAGAGATTCAGGCCAGTGAGGGGACTCCTTTAGACAAGGCTTCTGACCACAGAGTCTAAGGGCTTCCCATAGGAGAGCTGAACCAAACCAGATGGTCTTTCTTTGACCTGACTCTCCCGTGTGCAAACTCTGTATTAGTTTTCTATTGCTACATAACAAATTACCACAAATTTAATGGCTTAAAATAACACATGCCTATTATCTCACAGTTTCCATGGGTCAGGATTCCAGGCATGGCTTAGTTGGACCCTCTGCTGAGGTCTCACAAAGCCACAATTACGATGTTGGCCACGACTGCAGTTCTCATATGGGGCTCTGGGTCCTCCCCCAAGCTTATTCAAGTTTTTGGCAGCATTCTGTTCCTTGCAGCTGTATGAACAAGGTCCCTATTTTCTTGCTGGAAGCCACTCTCAGTTCATAAACCCCTTGTAGTCTCTTGTCATATAACCCCTAAAAGCAGTTCACAATCTGGCTATCTGCATTTTTTCCAAGCCAGCAGAAGCACATTTCTCTGACTTCCAATTGCCTTGCAGTCTGCTACAAGAGTGCCTTATAGAATGTAATACATCAAGGGAGTGACTATTCCATCATCATTTGCCACATGGCATCGTTTAATCAAGGGAGCAACTACCTATCCATCACATGCAAAGGTTCTGTCTACATTCAAAAGGAGGGGATTATCCAAGCCATGTGTACCCGTGGGTGGAACTCTTCAGGAACCCTCTAAAATTCTGCCCTTCACAATTTCAGAAATGTAAGAATCCATTCCAGTTTCCAGTGGGGGAATGACATTTCTCCTTCTATGTTAGTTGAGTCACTTTTGTAAAGAACTGGGTAGTAGAGAGTGGAGGGAAGGCAGATTGTCAAAGGTGTGTGCTTGACATCACATTAAATTATCCAGATAATTATCTTAGCTTTCTACCTTAATGAATTGATGTTTTTAACTTTTGTTGTTGTTTTTACTTTTAAAAAAAATGTTCTTCAAACATTTCAACTAATCTGAAATGTAAATAAAATCACCTTATAAATTTGAAGCAGTATATCTGTCTAAATTAATAGGCTTTATTTTTAGATCAAATTTAGACTAACAGAAAATCCAGCATAAAGTACAAGTTCCCATATACCCCTGTATCTATCACTCCACTCCAACACACACACACACACACACACACACACACACGGTTTCCCCTAACATTAACATCTCAAATTAGTGTGTTACCTTTGTTGCAAATGATGAGCCAATAGTATCTACTATTAAGTCTCATACAGAATCGTTTCAGCACTGTATTTTTTAATAAGGAATTTTTCTTTTAAATCAGGTCTTTGTCCCGTGTGACCTATGTGACCATGTTAGGCAAATGTAGGGTCTGTGGACAGCCCATGTGACCGGCCAGGATATAACAGAGCCTTCTGTGACTAAATAGAGGTTGGCCTGAGATTGCTGATATTCAAAACCGATTATTAGGCACAATGTACTTCAATCTGTTTAAGAAGAACACAATCTCTGGGGAGAGAATTTTAAGACAAAGAGCGGTTTTGGTAATAATACCAATTTTGGTCCAGACCAAAATGCAGTGGTACAGAAAGACGATGAGTTTTCAGAAATAAATTATCTTGAGAATGCTCTGTGACGATAATGAGAAGACCGGGAGAAAATATTTCATAAGACTTACCTGATAAAGGACTGATATCAAAAATATCCAAAGAACTCTTAATAATCAACATTAAGAAAACAAACCAATCCAGGGGCACCTGGGTGGCTCAGTCGGTGAAGCAGCTGCCTTCGGCTCGGGTCATGAACCCCGGGGTCCTGGGATCGAGTCCCACATTGGGCTCCCTGCTCCACGGGGAGTCTGCTTCTCCCTGACCCTCCCCCCTCTCATGTTCTCTCTCTCTCTCTCTGTAATAAATAAAATCTTTAAAAAAAAACCAAACTAATCCAGTTAAAAAGTGAGCAAAAAACCTGAACAGATGCCTCACCAAAGATGTACCGAAGGCTTATAAGCATATGAAAAGGTTCTCTATGTATATGTCACTAGGGAATCACAAATTAAAATAATGAGTAATCAATATATACCCCGAAATAGTACTCTGCCATCAAAAAGAATAAATCTTGCCATTTGCAACAATGCAGTTGGAGCTAGAGTATAGTGTGCTAAGTGAAATAAGTCAGTCGGGGAAAGACAAATACCATATGATTTCACTCGTGCGGAATTTAAGTAACAAAACAGATGAATATAGGGGAAGGGTGAAGAAAGAGAGGGAAGCAAATCACAGGAGACTCTTAGGGATAGAGAACAGGGCGCCTGGGTGGCTCAGTTGGTTAAGCGACTGCCTTCGGCTCGGGTCATGATCCTGGAGTCCCGGGATCGAGTCCCACATCGGGCTCCCTGCTCAGCGGGGAGTCTGTTTCTCCCTCTGACCTTCCTCCCTCTCGTGCTCTCTATCTCTCATTCTCTCTCTCTCAAATAAATAAATAAAATCTTAAAAAAAAAAAGGATAGAGAACACACTGAGGGTTGATGGAAGGAGGTGGGTGGGGGATGGGCTAGATGGGTGATGGGTATTAAGGAGGGCACTTGTGATGAGCACTGGGTGTTGTATGTAAGTGATGAATCACTGAATAAAAAAAAGTAAAAGTAAAAGTCAATTAAAAATTAAAAATTAAAATAAAATAATGAGATACCAATACATTAGAATGGCCAAAATCCAGAACCCTGCTACCAACAAATGGCTGGTAAGGCTGTGGAACAGGAACAGTCATTCTTTGCTGGTAGCATGCAAAACAGTACAGCCAGTTTGGAAGACAGTTTGGAAGTTTCTTACAAACTAAATATATTCTTACCGTACAATCCAGGAATCACACCCTTTGGAAGTAAAGAGTTGAAAACTTATTTCCACACAAAAAGAATGAGCTGTCAAGCCATAAAAAGACATGGAGGAAACTTAAATGAATCCTGCTAAGTGAAACAAGCTAGTTGGAAAAAGCTACAGGCAATATAATCCCAATTTTATGACTTTCTGGAAATGGCAAAATGGAGACACAAAAAGAGTGATATACGCATATAATGGCACACAGTGGAATATTATTAAGCCCTGAAAAGAAATAAAATTCTGCCACAGACTCTAGCATGGCTGCACCTTGAAGACCATATGCTGAGGGAAATAAGCCAGCCACAAAAGGACAAGCATTGTATCACTGTATCATCATTTGTATGGGGCACCTAGAGTAGTCAAATTCACAGGGATAGAAAGTAACATGGTGTTTCCCAGGCACTGGGAAAGGAGGTATGTGGCGTTATTATTTGATGGGTACAAAGTTTCAGTTTGGGAAGAAGCCAAAGTTCTGGTGTTGGATGGAGGTGGTTACACCAATGTGGATGTATTTAACGCCACTGACATCTACACTTACAAAAAATGACAAATTTTATGTTGTGCCTATTTTGCCATAATAAAAAAAAAAAATTCATGAAAGGAAAGAACACTGGGCAGTGGGAATGAAAGCCTGGCTTCCAGAGCCAGATCTGGTTGTGTTCTTTCATGACAATTAGCTCTGGGGTCTTTGTAGTTTCCCTTCCAGGACCTTGAATCTGTATTATTTACTCGCTCATTCATTCATTCAACCAGTGTTTATTCAACACATACAAGAGTTTGTTACTCTAAAACTATGGAAGAGCTTGGAAACTATTGTGTGTCAGATGCGGGATAGATGTTATTAAAATCAATGAATGGGAATAATCAAAGAAAAATGAATGGGAATAATCAAAGCTGTTTTTCTATTAAAACAATGTAATCCCTCGTAGGTTTTCACATTCAGATATAGATTTCATTCTTAAATCAGAGTGTCATAAAACATGAAAGCTAGAAAAATGACCTCACTAGTAAATTATTTAGCAAAATAATTTTGTTTTCAAATAGAGTTCTGCAGAGATCACTGATAATAACAAAATAAAATATTAAAAACATAGCCTTCTGGGATAGTGTAAATTTTCATTATTGGGCCAAAGACATAACACCCATCATGGAAGACTTAAGCATATTCATGTGCCTGACTTCTGAGGTTCATCTGAGCTTCTAGGAATCCAGAGCACAGCCTGAAAATCCATATATACTTCTACCCCTTCATTCTAGAGATTTAAGTGATCTGTGCCCAAAACACCTAATTTTTTTCATTGTGATTTTCAAAAAATACCTCTAGGATGCAACTGAAAATTTGAAATAGTTTGTTCTTAATAAATCTTTAAATCTGTTTAAAATCAATACATTGTTTTAGTCACAATGTTTTAAGTTTTGAGAATTGGAAAGTCCACATGTCTATGAGGTGGTTTGGTAAATATGGTACCATATGAGAGTATGAACTTGGAGTCCAAAAATCTAGATTCTGGTTCTAGTTCTTCTGATCACTAGATATGTGACTTAGGAAGAATCAGGTAACGTCTCTGATCTCTATGCTGTGTTATGTCTGAAAGTAAGGATAATAATGCACAACACATCTAGCTTCCAAGGTGTCCATGGACATGTGAGTTAAGCTTCCATTTTCTTGGATAATATTTTGAGTGATAATAGCTATCACCAAAACTGAGTTGAGTTTAAATAAGATAGTGTGTACATTTAAACCTGCATGTTAATAAATGTTAAGATTTTAGTAGCCCAGGTATTTTTAATCTATAGAAATAAAGTGCTCTTTATGCCCCCTCCCTCCCTGAAAAACTAGTCAAGTATAATCTGTCAAGTTTTGAATGCCACATTGTCATTGGGCAAGAATTCCTAGAGGTTTATTTTTTTCTTTATTTTTTTAAAGATTTTATTTATTTATTTGACAGAGAGAGAGAGAGCAGGAACAGAAGCAGGAGGAGTGGGAGGCAGAAGCAGGGTCCTGCCGAGCAGGGAGCCCATGCCTCTCTCCCAGGACCCCGGGATCATGACCTGAGCCGAAGGCAGAGGCTTAACGACGGAGCCACCCAGGCGCCCAAGAATTCCTAGAGGTTTAAAATAGCAGCTTTCTATCAATTCCATTTGTCAATTTCCCCTCCACAGTCAGGAAAATATAATTTATTGGCTTCTCAAACTTATGATCTCTCCATTTTCTCACTCTTCAGATTGCATCGCTCTTTTTCTTAATCAAATTTACATTTGAACTGCAAGGTTTTAAAACATTAAATCGTTTTCTATTGAAATAGTTTTATTAGCTTAAAAATTTTAAGCTCCATGCCTTGATAAGTTTATTCCTTTTCTGGAATGAAGAGAAGCACAAAATGGGTAACAATAATTCCCCTTACATACTGATTGCTTTAGGCAATCATCAAAGTAATTAACATAGAATACACCCATATACAATGGGTAATTCTCTTGCTCCGTAAGAGGGGGGGAGAAAAATCAGTGATCCAAGACAGGGATTGGCAAACCAAGACCTGCCAAGTAAATCCGGCCTGCTTCCTGTTTTTAAAAATAAAATTGTATTGGAACATGGCCATGCTCATTTGTTTACATACTGTCCACAACTGCCTTTGCACTTCAACCACAGTGACTCCAAGGAGTTGCTACAGAGACCATATGGTTTGCAAAGCTGGAAGAATTAACTTTTTTTTTTTTTAAGTATTATTTATTTATTTGACAGAGAGAGCGCAAGTAGGCAGAGCAGTAGATAGAGGAAGAGGGAGAAGCAGGCTCCCCGCCAAGCAGGGAGCCCGATGCGGGACTCGATCCCAGGACTCTGGGATCATGACCTGAGCCGAAGGCAGAGGCTTAACGACTGAGCCACCCAGGTGCCCCTGGAAGTATTTCCTATTTGACCCAGAAAAAAATTTACCCACTCCTGATCTAGGGACTAAGTGAGGAAAAAGAAAATGGATGCTCTCCTTTCTTGCAGTAATTGTATAATCAGAAGCTTCTAAAATATAAATATTCTGCGCGGAGTTGGAAAACAGGCTGC